CCCGATCCAAAAAAAAAAAATGACGTGCATCAAGGTCCTATTATGTTTAATGTATGTACCAAATTTGAACAAAATCCATCCATGCATAACTGAGATCCGGGGTCCGGAATGGTGAAAATGTGCGATTTTGATGCATTTTCGGCCTTAAAATGGCCGCTATTCGGCTATCGTTAATCGGATCATGAAAAAAATGCATGTGCATATGTCCCATATAAGGTGTGATGTATGAGTGAAGTTTGAACTTAATCGGTCCATGCATGTTCGAGATACAGGTGATCACGGACGCACGGACGCACGGACGGACGGACGCACACAGGGCAAAACATAAGTCCCCGTTTTCGGACTGCGTCCGAACGGGGACTAATAATCGTGATTGGTACGATAGTTTGGTTCCTGCTTTTACGAGAAAACACGCATTAATTTCAGAGTGCATGGCGGGCGAACTTACAGAACATGGTTCGCATCTTTTCTATTCTGTTATTTACTCAGGATGAACCCCGATGTTGCATTACTGAAGTAATCCATATTTCTTTTGAGTAGTAACTTTCGAAACGCCAAAAATATGATCGTCGAGTCGTGAAACCTGGTCATAGAACATAGTTTTTCTTTTCCGAATAATCGTGTCCATTGCGACTATCGTGAATGGGGTGTGTGAACGAGCAAACTATTCTTCGACATGACCTTTCGAAAATTGTGAATCAACAGCTTTTAGGTGCAAAATCACCATTTTTTTTGGGGGAAATCAGTGTAAACATATTGCGGTAATTCACTTCCGCATTGCATTGAAAAAATTATCAAGCAGTAAATCTATATTGTGAATTTCTATGATAAGCAATAATATCGAAAGAGTTCGACAGCCAGAGTTGAATTGACGTGCGACCGCCGTGTTGGAAAGTAAATTCCATAGAAGTGTCTCCTTTGTGCACCGTCGTGTGTGTGAATTGACGATTTTGATTGGCCAAGCGCTTGTCATAATTCCGTTATTGATGAGTGCAGCCTTCCAGTCGCAACAACATGTTTGAAAAACAAAATAGCCCAAGTCTGTACTGTTATGGTGCTGGTGGTGAACGTTGATTGTTGTACTTAGCATTACACTAAAATGGCACATGTTTTTTTGACTTGCAAGCAACACGTGGCCATGTAAATAGCTGCCAGATTCTGATTCAGCACGGCTTTCTTTTATTATTACTGGCCAGTAATGTCAGAGGCAAAAATAAGGTCCCCAGCAGGAGTATCATTTGGTACCGTATTTCTTTTTTTCAGAGGAGTTTTGCCGACGTTTGTTTGGTTGCACCTGGATTTTACCGCTGCAAAAGAATATTCAAACCCAGAATTCTTCGTAATGTTTTTGTTGCACTGTCACAGGCAAACGATGTGGCAGCGGCGACAGAACCGATGCATATTCGGTCTTAAAAATTCCGACTTCTTTCCTATCATTGCAGATATTATGAGCACATTTGCGAATTCAATGTTGTAAATAGATGGGCATGTTCGAGCTTTGTTTTTAAATGGGATGTATCACGCAATATTGACTATTTCCTGTTCCCTCCCAGTCAACGAAAGTGTGTTGTCTTTGTACACGATATGAGCTCATTCACATATTCATTGTTTTTTTTTAAACGGGACGAAGTTTATCACTGGTATGTGTCTGAAAATGTGTGAGAAATAAGGGCTGCAAGATTACATAAATAAAACATACATGTATACCGTACCAAAATATGTGCGTGTCTAAAAAGTTCTGTTTTGTGTCTGATGTACTTAGCTAGAAATATAAAGAAAGGGGTATGACCAGACAGTTACTTTGTAGCCACACATTGTTTGTTTCCCTAATCATTACGTAATATCGCGTCTTTGCTCATTCACTCGAGCACATAATGAAACGTGTCTCAGAATTGAATGATTAGAAAATAACATTTTGAGTGTGGTGCGCGACTTAATTGAATTGCCTGCTGTCCACTCAGCTTCACTGCGATGTTTGTTTGCCACAGTCTCTGATCTACCCAAAGACACGAAAGAACATCTTGATCACTATCAAATTGGTGAAAACAAGTACAAATTGAACCGATCATAATGTATCCTATTAATTCGCTCACCTGAAAGAAGTAATTTCTATTTGTATCTTAATTAACTCACCCCGAAAAATAATTATTTTTACTACCGCAAATTAATACAGTTTTTACGTTAATCACATCTGTAGATTTACTCCAGACTTGGATATTACATAAAGTTTAATGAAAATCTGTTGAGACAGTAGTTAAAAAGCTTAAAATATGATAATTATTATGAGAATAGATATCTCAAAGCACCTATATGTATGTGTAACATAATATGACTGAACTCAGTTCTTGAGAGAAAGATAGACACACAAAGTCAGACAAAGACTCACACTGGGCACATCGTAAAAGACAACTTACCTTCAAAATATGATCAACTTAAGGTAGCAAGACGATGATTTGTGTTGAAAATTACAATTTTCACATTTATTTATTAATTGATGAAATGCACTATAAACATCCATATGATAAAGTCAACAAAACATAGAATGTCATGTAAGTTGGTTAAAATGTTGATTTTTTTGAAAGGAAGCAAGGCAGCCTCAATAGTGTTTTCCAAAATCAACATAGGTTTAATCTGTGTGCCTACAAGTTTCAAAGATAAACTGAAGACAAAGCAATGTTAGGATGTGTTATCAGTGTTTCCAAACACTTGAGTGGTTTGTTTCCGCCCCTGTTTGTTTCACAGATTAGTCATTGCATATGAATGTGTCAGACACATGGTGTTCTCATCTGCGGATTTTATCGAATTACAGCTATCTAATTCCTTTTTTTTTTGGTTTCCAATAGCCTTACACATTTGGATGCCCCTACACATGTTAAAACAGACCTTGAAGGGAAAACAAATCGATTGTGCCGATAAACAAGCTTGAAAATCTTTGCTGTGACTTCATGGACGTTTTCTAGAAGTTTAACAAAAACAAAAAATGATGCATACTTATTGTCGCCGGAATAACACCAAATTTTCACAGCTTTAAGAGGAACTTGAATGTGTCCAGACTATTTCGTGGATTACTTACCGTGTTGTGGTTTGAGTTGGGGGCAACGTGACTAAAACATAAATTAAAATTCAGCACACTACGTTTTAAAACGCATTGCTTGAATAAAACTGACAAGACACATTCAATTTACCAGACTATTGAACAACTAGGAAAAGTAAAAAAAAAACTTCTTATCACCAGCATAAATGCGTAATTTTTTTTTTTACAGAAAAAGTCATTTTTCACCTTTGATTAAGTAATGTGTCGTAGAATGCAGATACGGGCATGAAAAACACACTTTCAAAAAGCTTGAAGCCTGGCAATTCAAAAAACATATATTTTCCTAAGTCTTTTTGCAGACATTTAGTCACAATTAGAAAATGAAAACAATTATGCAAATAATAGTCCCGCTACCTTAATATTATACTGCAATATAAACTATACCTGTTCCAAACCTTGCTCTAACACTATTTGGTGCTTCACTCCTGGCAACAGCGCTGTCAGTGGGACCAGCCAGTGTTCTCCAATGTTTAACTGCATCATTACCAATCAACTCCATGGCTACAACCTTTCCACTTGTGATGAAATCCACTAACTCACTGAAAACAAAATATTTCATAAATTCTTAGAAATATGAATGTGTGAGGCAGTATGCCAACCAAAGAGGACTGAAATGGGATGTCAGTGTAAAAGCTCTCATTTGATATATGTACAGGTTTGTGACAATTTATTGCTGTCTTTAGAAATTTTATCCATCATGATCAAAAAATCTGATCAACATAATGCACCCTTGCCTGTTGTGAATCTGACTATAGCGTTAAACTTTAATCATTAACTGCATGTGTGGCATGATATACTACAAGGTGTAAAATTTAAATGCAATCAATTAAGGCTTTCAGAGATACATTCGTTAATACAAAATGTTTTTCAGTTGGCTATGCTGAACAAGCCATGACTGGCACATTCCCAGTTAGTTATATAGAAATTTAGTTGGAACATGGTAATATAGTAATAGTAATATAGTTGGATTCAGAAGCTGATGCTTGATTAATGATGATTTTTTAACAGTAAAATTATTGACATTCAGTCATCTTGTAATTGATCATCAAGTACTTGTCCATATTAGGAAATATTGCTCTGGAACAGCATTAATTAAAACAGAATGGCCACCGGTCAACCATTTTGAATACATCTGTTCATCTATATCTAATTCTTGATTAAAAAAAAATCATGCCGTTTTTCCATCAAAATCAAAGCAAAAGGTTGTACTACACATTGGTAAATCTATTTTGTGTTGTGTTCGCCATGAAGTCGCTAAACTGTCATTAACACATTTAAATGAGCTATGGTAATTCAAACACGTTGGCACCATCTAGCATTCTGATTGGTTAACCTATCAGGTCAACTTGTGTATTGAAAAAACATGGCGGGTATCAAGCTTTTAGATGTAATCAAAAACATTTCCCTGACGCATAAATTAGAGTGACGCCTGAACAAGAGATTATACAAAATTAGAATATAATTAGTCAAAGCATATCAGAAATATGGTACAGGAATAGCATTCATTAAAACAAAATGACCGCCGATTGGGTTTTTTAAATCTGAAAAAC